CGTCACTGATTCTGAGCAAAGTCACTCAGGGCAAAAAGATTTTCTGGAGCTGCCTGAAATATGGTCAGTAGAGAGACAATATCTCATGAAGTGAGATCTTAAGCAGCTCAGTAGTGAGAATGCGCCTGCAATATTCATAATACTTGATTTCTTTCAAAAACAGTTTGTAAAATGATGATATAGGAGAGCAGACAGCTTCTTCTTCATTTCTGATAATATTAGGAATTGAGGTTGCCATCACCCAATGAAATTGATCAGCTTCAAAGAATCACAGGCAAAATTGAATACTGCTTTCCAAATTGCATAGTTAACCTATGAATGTTATCACCAAGTATGTAGTATCACCAAGTATGTGGCCACTGCCTTAGTTAGCATTTCTACAGAGTTAGCCAAACTGATGGAGGGTAGGCATCCCAATGTTATTAGCATAATAGCTAAATGGGAACTTCCTAGGCAGTATAGCTGCTGGGGATGTACAATGGAGAACGCTATTGCCTTCACCATGTTTACCACCATGAAGGAGGTAAAGAGGGCATCTACTCGGAGTAGGCCCTTCTCTGCGGTGGCGTCTAGACTGTGGAATGCGCTCTCTGGAGAGGTTCACCTGGTGCCAAGTTTATATTCTTTTCAGCACCAGGTGAAAACCTTTTTATTCAAATGTTTTAGAATTAGTGATTTCAGAAGCTAGCAGTCACTTTTTAATTTTATTTGATTGTATTTTTTCTTACTATTTATTATTCCTATTTATTGTTTATATACTGCTGTTTTATTGTTGTTTTAATGTTGTAAGCCGTCCTGAGACATTGTCGTAAAGGACAGCATATAAATGTTTTAAATGAGTGAATGGATGGATGAATGTTCTGCTTATTGGCATCACAAAGTCATCTGGCTGGTCAGTGTTGGAAACAGGATTCTGAACGTGATGGAGAATTGCCCTGATTCAGTAGGCCTCTTATGTTTTCCATGCCATGTTGCAAATTGTTTTTGAAACTCTCCTTAGTCTGCTTGTTTGGTATCAAAGGCTGCCAAGAAATTCAGGAGGATCAACAGGGTCACATTCCCTTTCTCACTTTTAACATAGGCCATCATACATGGCAACCAAAACTGTATCCTTGCTAAAACTTGGCCTGAATTCTGACTGAAAATAGTCCAGATAATCGGTCAGCTCCAAGAGAGCCTGGAGCTGGTTGGTTATCATGCACTCAATAACCTTGCCAGGAAGGGAACATTTGCCAGCAAGCTAGCATTTTTAAGATCTCACAGAGTCTGAAGAAGATTTCATCAGGAGTGGCCTCACCATCACCTGTTTCTAGGCACTGATCACCTTCCAGACTATTCCCTTTCTGTTAGTTTTCATAAGCCAAGAACTGAGTACAGATGTCACTGCATGAACCTGTCTAAACACCTTGGTAACATCCACAAACTCTGCCAAAAGGAACTCATCTGAGAAAACTTGGCTGCGCTCTGGCTGTCTCTCTAGATTCATCTTCTATAACATTAGAGTCTAAGTCCCAAAGGATGCAAGAGCTTTTATCCTGAGAGTGCCTAGAAAATACATTGCAGTGGGCCTCAATTAGGTGTATAATGACCTTGGGGCCAGCATGACCCTAAGAAGCTTTGGATTATCCTAAAGAGCTTCATGGGGGAGCAAAGAGAAGATTGAATGGAGGTAGTGAGAGGTTATTTCTTTACTGCCCTCACTACCCCTATGTATACCTGATTGTAACATACCAGGATTTGACTGTATCCATGAGGAGTCTTCCTCCATCTGCACTCAAGCTGTCTCTTGTTTTGTTTCATTGCTCTCAGTTCCAGGATATATCACTAGCCAATACAAGCTCTACTATGGAGAAGGCATCCAGGGAGGGATTGTGTCAACTCCCTGGGTCATCTCTATATTTCAGAGATTGACTAGGGAGTCAAAAGGACTGCCAACCATATCTGTTGGAAAACTCCCAAGAGTCTGATGGAAACCATCAGGATCCTTCAGCCTTTAGTGGCAAACCATTTTAACAGGTCTCCCAACTCAGCAGAATGGAAAACTAACTATTGAAGTCTATATCTCAGTGCGCAGTGATATGGTCATTACAAAGGGACTGATTCGACATCTCCCACCTTCAAATCATTTTCTCCGTGCCTGACTGTGGGGCAGGGGAAGCGCGTGCACACGCACACCTAGAGTGTGCCTGCTATTGTGTTGGGCTAATGATAAATTTGGACAGTCCCATGATTGTCATGGAGTCCATGAAATCCTGACTCACCCTGGGTAGGGTGTAGTTGGTGTGAATACTGAGATCCCCCACACACCAGCAGCTTGGGGGACCTCAACATGCAACTGCCTCAATCAGTTTACATAGAGAGACTGTCAGGTTACAGTGCGGACAGTACACCAGCAGAATCCCCAGTCTGTCTGTCCTGCTGGCCCAGAACTCCAGACCGAAGAGAGAGAGATGGGCTTCCTATAAACCACAACCCCCCGCAGCCCCCCATCTACCCTGCAGCTGTTAAAATATGTTTTAAAATAAGAGTTGATATCAAGCAGAAGCAGCTTCTGTTTGAGAAACATAACATTTCTCTGGGCTTCTGGAATTCATCTAGTTGTGTTGTTCTTGGGATACTAGCCAGGAACGAGGCATTGGTAGCAGCTGGCAGCACAGAAGATCTCTAGCAGCTGCTTCAAATACTGTAAATATCTTATAAACTAACACACTGTTACCTAACATGCCATGTGGCTGCTACACACCACTAAGCTTTGTGTTTCTGCCTTTTTGTTGATGCTCTCTAGAAAGGCAAAGATCAATGCAAGAGAATCCTCTTGACTTGATTTACAGTTGTCCTTGCCAGAATTTATGATTGTATGAACATAAAATTGTGCTTAGAACATTGCACCTGCAATTGACTGTGTTAAACTATAACATATAAAATGCACTGTGCTAATCTTGGTACTCATTTTAATGGATATGTGATCAATTTGACTTACTAAATTCATCTTGTTTCCTTTTTAAAGAAACGGCTTTTGCAAACACATCATCCATTTTTTATCTGTTCATATACTCTAAGCCTAGTGATTGGCAACAATCCAAAAAATATATGACCATCTCACTTGAAGCCATAGAAATCGATGAGCTTCTGTGTTTGACTTTGGCTATCATGTGGAACATGTTTCACTGAAATCAATACAAATTACTGAGGAGCTAGAATCATCTATGTTTGAATCCACGTCTCTTATTGACCTGGTTCTTATTAATCATGCTTAAGTTTGGTCGACATAATTGGGGCTTCACAGAAAACTGGATAAGCAGCAGTGGAATGCAAATTCTAAGAAATGTGTATGGCACATGTGTACATGCCTCATACAGCTTAACAAACAAATGCAATATGTTGCTTTTCGTTCTCCAGATGTCTCAATCAGCATCAAGTTACATAAGATAATACTATGCTAAAAGAAGACACATGAGTAAATGACAAAACAATTTAAAATGCAACAAACCCAAATGGGATCATTTGGGAGCAGACTGGATTGATATCTGGAGGGAGGGTAAAGGGGAAGATGCAGCTTAGAAAGTTTATATCACTTAGAATGCAAAATTCATTTTGGAAAAGCAGAATGCTTAACCATACAGGATGTTGCAATATGATGTCTATTGTTTTAAAACTGAGCTGTGAAGCTATGATTTTTTGCATCATGCTCATCTTGTATATGTGTACAACGTAAATTTCTCATTTTCCTCTGGCATCTCATATACCAAGTGCTTCTCAGGTCAAAATGAGTACATAATGATTCACTCACCACTTCAGCTCATTTCCTATCACTTGGTGAAAAAAAAAAAGTGGGGGGGGTGAGTCCAGGCATGGGAGCTCTACTTTGAGGCGAACAGTCATTTCTTTATAGTGGTACATGAGTCATAGGAAAGAATGTCTCATGGGGATAGTAGCAACAAAAACAAATACAAGGGCAATGTTAAAGAAGATCTGTTTAAAAGAAAAGGAACTGAGATGACCCAAGGCATTTTCACATGCAAGGCTTGAAATCCATTTGAACTCACACTGATCTAAAATGTGAAAGTAAAAAAGATACTAGCCAGAATTTTATTTCTTCATCTATCTTGTCATCTTCTTCAACCACCACTGAATTAGCATGAAGCTGGAAAAATGAGGTTGGAAGAGACATGCCATATAAGTATCCTCAAACCATTTTAGTACCCAGCTCTGATGCTCACTTTTAGGCTACATTGATTTTTAATAAAACCTTTATCCTCAAACCTTTATCACGCCGTTTCTGTGGAAGCTGGGGAACAAGAATAACAATGAAGAATGAAGCCCTATTTCTTAGTCAAGGAATGTATAGACAAGGGGAGAAGAAAGCATGAGCTTTTAGGGGGAAAAACAGAAAAGAAAAAAAAAATAGAAAGATTCAACTTTGGAGGCAACAGGAGGTGAAACACATGTGGACAAAAAACTAGCTAATTCAGGTAGATCAGGTGGAATTGAGATCATTAGGGCCCTTTACCTTTATTTCAGCAACCACCAATGGACAGGTGGCCTCGCCCTAGTGGGCTACCCCTAATTTCACTATGTTCCACTGGTTTTGTTTTGTTTTTTAAACATTTTTATGCTGCCCCCATCGCAACAAAGCCTCGGGGCGGCTCACAACATTTCAATGAGAAAGATCATACCCCATCAAGTATATGACATGTGAGTATATCAATTGCTGGGAACATGAACGGGAGGATGCTATAACACTCATGTCTTGCCTATTGACAACTCTTTGGTCAACATGCAAACAGAATGCTTGAAAAACAAGCCTTTGGTCTGATCCAGAATGGCTCTTCCAGTGCTATTAAAGTGTAACATTAGTTGAAATCAACGGAGCATAACAGTTATTATGGGAATGTAATGATATAATCCATCTGCAGCTTTGTGAAGGAAGGGTAGCTTCCTTCAGCTTTGTGAAGGAAGGGTAGGATACAAATAGGACATAATAGTCTACATTTACTTACCTACTGAAATAGGTGAGGACAGTATCATAAGAAGGAATTATCTGAATTTTGGGGTTTTGCTGCAGGAAGACCCAACATAATGCAGTTCGCAAGAGATGGAATTCATTGAAAGTAAATAACCTGCAGGGAAAGAATGTTTTATGAACTCCCAGTTTATATGACACCAGTACAATAATATTTAGTCAAACAATTGTGCTTTCTAAATATAGGAGCTACAGTCAAGTTTAAGCAATTTCTTTTGATATTTGTGTTCATGTTTTGAATTTGATTCAACCACTTCAAGTTTATTTAGAATAGCCACCTGTACATCGACAAAAAAGAGGAAATGCATATTATAATTTAAATATAAATACGTGACATCTCACCATAATAAGGAGAACTGTGACCAGGTGTCCCATGTGCCTGTTCAGTCTGCTGCTCAGCTGTTCCCTGTGGATGGGCAATTTCACAGCTCCTGCTCTCCCTTACATGGCTCTTTATCTTTCAGATGGATTTGAGCAGGACAGCTCTTGAAATAGACTTTACAGAGGACTGAATTCCATAAAGTAGGACATGTGGCCAACTTATATTTATTTACAGTCCACTGACTACCTTCTCTTCTGGCATATTTTGAAAGTAGCTCTATACAGAACATTTGACAAAACAATCAGCAAATTGTGTAGACTAAAGTTTACAAAATGGCAAATTCAGTGGCAGCCACAGATACTTCATTACATTGCACCCGCCAGTTATTATCTGTTGGTTTTGTCTTTTTTTAAAGACAAAATTATGTCACATTGAGTTCACATAATTAAGATGAATAGGAGTGCTATTTCAGATTTCAGTAGAGGGAAGGGGCAAGAACCAAGGAAGCCTTGGTGACATTCCAATTTAAATTGTAAGAGACCAGGACAATATTAAGGGTACGATGAATGCTTTCTCTTGTGTTTTTTACAATCACTATAGGAATATTATCAATAAAGAGCAAATAGACACACAGGTGACTTCATTTTAAAAGTGAACATGTGTGTGTTTTTGGCATCAATTGCATGCATGTAAGTCAATTTAATTGCTCACAGCATTCACCCCCAGTGGCTATATGCTTTCAGACTTTCTTCCACTTTTCACACTCACCTTCCCTTTCCCTGTTTAGTGTCAACCATAGTTTGCTGTGCCATTCAATTTAGAATTGGAAACATCATTCCAAGTTGAGGAGCAACCACAAACCAGAGATGTCACAGTGCTCTTTTGGTACAACATGTGCCCTGTATCCATGTTTACACAGAATTCAGTTTCCTTAGACACTGGGGAGGTAATTGCATTCCTAACAGAATGACAGAAGAGTCATCTACACACAGGCACAGGTCAAGCATGAGATAATGGTTCACGGCACTAGCATTCCAACGGATTCCTGCTCCTCATTAGATGTCTGGGCCTGAAGAAAGCAAAATCAGCTCTATGCCTCCTTTTCAAATCCACTTCCAACACAGACCAACCCTGCCACACACACAAACCTCTCTTTCTGCCACCTTTGTCTAGGCCAGGTGGAAGGGAAAGAAAGATGAGTCATTCCCAACCATCACCAATGGTTTCAACTCCCCTTGAAACATTACTGGAGTGTTACAGATTATAAACCATCCTGGGTCTTAAGAGCTATTGCTTCAATTCACCCACACTGATAGCTCTATTTACATAAATATTACCAATCCAGGATTAAATAGGTGGAAGGGAACCCAATCCCCTTGCAATTAAAGGCACCAGACTGCATGGGACCATTGAAGCCTTTCAGACAACCATTGTCAAGCCCACAACATGATTAGCATGAAGCAGGAAATTAAAAGGAAAGCATTTTGCATGAGAAGCGGGGAGGCAGAGAAGAGGAAACCCACAAGCTTCTAGTTCATTTCCAGCCCTCCTAACAAATAATGGCCAGGCCAATGTGAAGATTCAGTGAGTTTGCTCTCCAGAGTGGCTGGGTCTGTTTCTGTAGTCATTGCAGGCTCTTCAGAAGCAGCAGAAAGTTCAGAACACAGAGGCAGAGACTAAATATTGCCCCCTTGTCTTTCCTGGAGCCTTAAGATGAATCACTCCAGAATGAGGGTGGGACATGGGAGGGATCAGAGGCTGCAGGCTATAAGAATCAAGTTGCTGTTTCTTAAATTTGGCACTTCGTAGGGAGTTGTTATTGTGCTTGCAAATGCACTGATGTGTGTGTTTGTCTTAAGCTTACATAACTGATACTGTATCTAAAAAGTTATTGCCTATCATGCGATGAATTCCAAATGTTGTTTTAGTATTGGTGAAATGATTGTTTCAGCTGTTGATGTAATTATGATTATGGCAAATAACATGTTGATGTGATTCTTGTTTTGTATCACTGTTCTTGTGTTGCGAGCTGCTTTAGGCCCACTGTGTGAAAAAGCATCATACACTCTAAAAGTGATGGTGAAAATGAGTTTGACCTATGGAAATTTGCTCTTTCAGAGTCACATATGTTCTGAAACACAAGCAGGCAGGGCATCCCTACATCATCACTGGTTTCTCCAGGCCCTTTGATTTGCCATTTTCTTCTATCAATTAATTGCAGTCTCACTTGCAAACTCCCAGTGTGGTGCATCCACGCTCCTGGGAATACCTCTCTTACCATATTTCATTTTTTTCCTGTACCTTTCAAACAGGCTACATAAAGTACTAGCTCATTAGCCACTAGCTGAGCTGAGCTGAGCTGCAGAAAAGCTATCTTCGTGGCTCTCATTTTACCTATGCTGTATAATAGCCTCTGCAGATTAGGGGGAGGGAGTGTGTGGTGTTCAAACTAATCTTACATAATAAAACAACCACTTTTGTAAGAGTCACATGATGGCAAGGAAATTTTAAAAGGACAGCTCTTAAAACTTGGGGGAGGAAGCTAATTGCTTTCCGAGAAGGGCAAAGTTAATGAACTGCTCAGATAAGACAAGAGTCTGTTTAAGGATTAGAAGCGTGGAAAATGTGTATAGCTTTCAGGAACATTCTAGAAGTAAATACAGTCTTTAAAACTCAATAGGAAAGGGATATTTGAAAGAAGCAGACATTCTGTCCCAATGTAATAAATAAATACCTCTTCAAAACAAGGAGCTTAGATCTATAGCCACCCCTGGGAGCCATCAAGTGGTTTAGCGGGAAAGACCTAAAATGGGTGATGGAACAAGAATGATAATTTATTTCTCTCCTACAGTTCCTTTTCTGCATCGACCCTCATTTTTGGTATAGTGAGAATCACAGACCTCTGACCTGGTTGCCCTTCAGGAGAAGGGGCACATTTCTTCTCTTCCCTGGCCTCCAACTTGGCACTTTTCTGCACCCGCCACTGTGCAATTATTTTGAGATCCAAAATAATTTTCCTGCCCTGAGTTGCTCAAACAAAAGGCAGGATACAAATGCAAGGCATAAAACATGTCAACTGCAATCTAAGCTCTAGTGAAGCAGCAGCTTTGCAATGGGCCACTGGACAGACACCACACAGATCAGAGATCGTATATGCAGTAAAATCAGATAGAAAGTAACTTGAGAGACTACTGGAAAACAGATTCCAGTCACAGCAGACAGAATGAACTAGCCACACATTTAAGATTGAATTAGATGGGATGTTAAATATGTGATAATTAAAATGCTCATCCTTTTCTTTAAAAAATTAATAGCAGAAGCATGGGTGTGTACTGCAATTTTCATTTGGAATACTGCATGCACGGATGAGAAGATTTAACCCTGCTGCCCCCACCCTAATCTTGACAAAAATCACATTCCTGCACTGCTATTAGCTCCAGAAGAAATTATCCCATTAGTGGGCTCACCCAGAGTTTTGGAGTGCATTGTCATCAGTATTCTGATGGCAAACTAACTCTATTTCTCTTTTTTCATCAGCAGGTGAGGCTGTTGCTGTGCTAAACCAGCATCTTGCTGGGTCAGTGGACTAGATGAGAGCTAAAGCTCAATTCAGACAAGCCTGAAATGCTGTTGGTGGGTGGTTCCTCTGACCAGGTGGAAGGTGTCCAACCTGTTCTAGCTGGGATTGTGCTGCCCCTGTAGGAGTAGGTGCATAGCTTGGGGACACTCCTTGATCCATCCTTGTCATGTGAGGCTTAGGTGACCTCAGTGGCTTGGAGTGCCTTCTACCAGTTTAGCTGGTGGCTCAGCAATGCCCCTATCTGGACTGGGGTAGCCTGGCTTCAGTAATCTATGCTTTGGTAATCTCTAAATTAGGTTATTGCCATGCCCTTGAAGACAGTTCAGAAGCTGCAGCTGGTGCAGAATGATGAAGGCAGATTAATAAATGGGATCTGCAGGTCTGAACAAATAAGGCCAGTTCTGGCTGGCTTGCACTGGCTACCAATGCAAAGTGCTGGTTTTAACCTATAAAGCCTTAACACATCTTAGGACTGCAATACCTGTTGGAGTGCTTCTCCCAGTCACAAACTACTTGAACACTACTCTCAATGTCTGGGCCTTCCTCCATGTGCTGACTCTGAGGGAAGCATGGAAGGTAACAACGAGGGTTTTCTTTGTGATGCCCCCCACTTATGGAATAACATCCCAACTGCAGCCTAACAGGTGCCAAGTTTGTCATAATTTTGGCACCACATCAAGACAGCCCTCTGTGCTGAGGCCTTTAAAAGCTTATCTGGATACCCAGAGGTTTGAGGGGATTGCCCATCCTGAGTGTTTTGCCAAGTCTTTCTTTGTTATTGTTCGGGTTTAGCTCTTTTAAACTTTTAATGTATTTCTAAGTTCATATTCATTGTATTCAATGGACTGTTGTAAACTCCCCAGAGAGCTTTTGCTGTGAGGTGGTACAGAAATGAAAATAATACTGATGATTATAATAACCCCATTAAAGTCCCACTGGGACAAATAGGAGCCCTCTCCCTCACACCAAGTTAATACCAAGATCCACCATGGTCATGATTCACCTTCCTTCTTCATATGCAGTTGATATGAGAAACTCCATTCCTCTGCGCACACACAAAGCTGCACACCTGCTATAAAGTTTTTATAATATTTACAAGTTCCTAATGATGAATTTAGTCTGCTGTTCTATATATGGTTAGCTTGGAGTAAGGACCATTGCATTCAATGGGACTTGTTGCTATGTGCCATCAAGT